TTTAACATAGTCAATGTAGTTATGTGAAATAATGTAGGAACATATTAAATAGTATAATAATAATTATAAATTTATAGATTATTAGGTATAAATATATTATACAAGACCATGTCCCTATATTCTTCAGTGGAATAATACGCATTATCCAACAAAAAGTCTTTCAGTCGACTATCAAATGTTTCATCATTAGGCTCATTTTTTAAGTCAACGGGTAGGTGCTCATAATAAGCCGGGCCGATTACGCGCGAATTTTTCTCAGTGTTTGTTTTCTAACACCGTTACTTTTTCTAGAAAGAAATAGTGTTGACAGTGTGAGCCTCGTGGAAAAGATCCTTAGGTTCAGGGCACCGAACGATTACTGCAACAGGCGACGTAGTGTGCCCTTCTTGGCAATTGAGCCCTCACGAAATGCAGCGACAATCGCCCGTTCCCCGTGCTCGCAGCGTCGCCACAGTGTGATGTGCTTATGACAAGAGAGGCTGTTGACCGAATGGAAGAGAGTGTTAGAAAGAAGTCAGAATGGATATTAGTTAGTAGCTAATTTTATAATTTAGATTAGTAAGTATCTTTTATTTCTATTTAAATCCTGTTGTTTGACGAATTTTATTTAATTTAGTAGCACTAGAGCTCCTTGTGAAAGAGCTCGTCCAGGATAGTACTGCCAACTTACTTATTTCTGCCACCAAGCAGTAATGTCAGCATTACTGTGTTCCGGTTTTGAAGGGTACGGGGCTGGTGAAATTGCAGGCAAATGGAACTTGTCAACTTACGTCTCAGGGTGACGGGCGCAGTGGCAGTGCACCTCAGATCTTTGCAATTTAAAGCTCTGAGTGGCACTGTAACTGTCATGGACAGACGTGTAGCTTTTCATCAGGTGCACGACTTGTTTGTCCCGTCACTTGATGTTATTAAAAAAAAAAGAATTGCTGTAACGCCATGGTGCAAATTGTTATGTTTACACATTTTCTGAACAAATAAATAAATGTTACAATATGTATTTCAAACATCTTAGATTGAGAATACCTGCAAAAGCTAAACGGATCACTACCACGGATTCTTGTCATCCACAAGCTGTATAAATAACCTTTAGTATAAAGTTTTTGTTACGCTATAGTTTTAAACCTCGTAAATGGCAAAATTTGAATATCAACCGATTATAGAAACCTATAAACTGCTCCTAAATAAAGTAACTTTGTGAAGACGACAATCAAGAATAGCCAGTTTATTTTTATTCCTCGTATTAATGTAACGTCTGTCACTATTTTTAATAAAAAAAAAAATACTATTCATCTTAACATAAATAACATTTTCGTAAACGTACTGTGACGCTAGTGTAAGAATGTAAATCTCTTTTTGCCCTAACCGCACGTTTCTGCCGGACAAAGATTCTATTAATATCGGCGGCGCCAAGCAGAAGCGAAACTCGCAACTGATTTTTCGTCCTTCTTCTTGCATAGACATTTGTCTATCATTTTTCTGACCAGCTCAGGTCCATTCCGCGTTAATAAGTATGGTGACTGGTTAATGGCTCTGTGGTAAACACTTTCGGTCTACATCAGAGGTTCCCAAAGTTTTGTCTGGTATTCCCCTTGCCTTTCTAATATTGACTTTTTTTTGTTGTTTATTTTATATTGTGTATTTGAAGCTGACATAGTGCTAGAAACTTTAGAAATAAATAAGTATAACTTTTTTGTAAAAAAAAGAAAGTAACGAAAATAACGAAACGGAACGCAAGGGCTTGGGCACAGTTGGGGAAATTAATCTAACTTAATTTAATAAAAAATAAACGCTTATATTCTTTCCCTTTTACTTCACGACGACGTGGCGAAGAAATAATCATTGAGTAAGACATAAAAACATATTATAATATTTAGTGAATCTTTATTCGCAATATAAGCCGATTTAACGTAATTTTTTTTTTCTAAGCATAATAAAAAAGTTGTCAAGGTTTTTATTTTCAGCCGATAATTTTGTTGTCTCAGACTTCGTTAGTTTTTGTCAAAATCAGAATACATTTTTTTTAGCTTTTTGTTTTCCAGCATTAGTTGAATATATGCAGGATTTCCATTTAAATTTATTATCTCTTGTAGGCTTACATTATTTTTACTTCTTTTTTCGTACGTCCACTTCTGTCTTTGTATCTCTAGGTCTTTCTTTCCTCTGATTCCAAAGTAAGTAACTTTTAAGCATTTGTGTTATAGAAATCGAAAACAATGACTGTACGATAAACATCCAGTCCCGAGACAATATAGAAAAGTTAGTTTTTTCTGCATTAACTCGGCCGGGGATCGTACCCGGGGGCTCAGACACAGGAAACCATGAAAAACGATGTACAAGCCACTCGACTACGGAGGTCGTGGATTATATAGCATTTGAACAGTAACAAATAAGTACATAATTTTGTATGGTTAGAGAGAGCTCAATGTGATCACAGCCTTTTCCGTATCGTTACGCAACGAAACGTTACTAAACCGACAATAAAAAGCCAAGAAAATATAACTTAGCTCTTTGAATAAACGCTCGCAAATGTGATGAAATGAAACCTTACGACGTATTTTTAACTGTGCTCTATTAAAAAAAAATTTAAATAATATGATAAGTTTCTTACCGTAATCATTGAAATTTCGTGACTAAACCGAAAATTAAATGTACCTCAAATTGAGGTGCGATCAAATTCACAGCTGACATTTTAAAATAGGCGTATGTCTATGATACATTCGTTGATAGAACAATTATGCCTACATTAAAATTAATTTTTTTTTTTTTAATGAATCTGTAATCTGTAATGTAACCTTCGATTTGCGTAACGAAACAAAATGTTACGAAACGGGAAAAAACTGTTACAGTAATTTAAAATGATTTTTTTAAACATTATTGTTTCAAAATGTAATTATTTATTAAAATTCTAATAACTCTATTAATATTACAGTCATAACATGTCAACTCCATGAATTTCTCTGCTAACCGGCGCGGCTGTAATGATCCGTTGAGTTCGACACCCGAGGGATGTGACATTTACAATATGTTCATAGAAAGTAAAATTGTTAAATAATAATAACGCTCACACTCAACATAAAAAATTAAAATTTTAAAAAGTTAAAATTTTAATTGTTCAAAAAACTATTATAATTTATTAAAATTCTAGAGTAAATTAATGTTTTTAGATATAAAAATACCAGCATAATTTTAACGGTATAAAATAATATTATTGTATTTAATTATATTTTTACCCACGAAAAAGGTTTGTGACAAAAATTACCTACAAATGTACATTTTAGATGAATATGACCCACCTCCTCCTTTTTTTGAAGTCGGTTAAAAAATAATAGATGTTACAGTTTATACATTTATTTCACCGAATATCATAATAGTTGTGAAATGTTTAATTACGTAATAGCTAAGTCAAATGTCTAGAATAAGAAAGTATTATGTATTTTATTTACACACATATCATAAACTCTCTATAACGTGTTCAAAAACCGCAAATTACGACCAGCATAAAGGTAAACTGTTTTGTTAGAACAAATTTCTTATCTGTGAAAATGTTATTATTGCTTCGTATGTTATTATTACATTCAAATATCGAACATCTCTGAAAAACAAAAATAATTTGATTGGACCTCAATTCTAATATCAGTCGAGATGAAGTTTTATTCCAAATGAAATATCAATAGCCATTGACTTACAATTATATGGACGTCGGGTCCTCACTAAAAAGTGTCCGAACTTGTAAGGCGTTAAAATGGTATACAGAGCGTCAAACTCCGCTTTAGTCTTCATTTGTTCGACTGACAGCGCGATACTGCGATAACATTACAATTTAAATTCAACGTTTTAGCTTTTTCGTATTCCTTTACATGTCACTACGTTTAAATAGGTTGACTTGGCACATTTTTTTCGTGGTTTTTGTATTAGACCCGTCGTCCATTTATTTGTATGTCAATGTCAATAGCAAACAATTTTGGCAATTTCACACGTTACTTGATATCGAACGATATGATAGTTGGGGCCGATGCCAGTTTGTCTATGAATTAAAAATAAAAACTACGGTTGTGTAATATCCGTGAGAAAAGTATTTATTTGCCGCCATTCCCACGCGGTTCCTGAACACATCACAGAGAGCTTATAATATGTGTGTAGACAAAGCAGTGTATGTAACTTTACATAATTAGGCATTAAAACACTCGTGAGATGTTTTTATGAAATAAACATAAACCCTCACCCATATTTTAATACCTTTCATTACGTAACAGTCACAAACTACTAGTAATGGATACTATAATCCTTGTAAAGTGGATTATTCCATTAATGGAAAGCCACAATGGGTTCTACTCCTGTGGACCCTCATTAACGTCTCATGCACCCTCAATTTTTTTGGCATGGACCCCTTATAGGTTGGAATGGTCCTCAGGGGGATCGATATAAACCACTTTGGAAATGATCGATCTTAGACGGTCTACGTGCATTGTATAGTGTTTTATACTTTTAATCATGCAAGTAACACGTTTGCGTCATCCTTTGTTTTCCTCGTATATGAGTAACTGAGGGAAGCCACGGAAAGTAATTAGGCTCCGACCTTCGTTGTACTGTTTTAAATTATACACGTCCTACAACCGGGCATGGGTCTTGATACGATGGTTTGTAAACGACATCTGTTATTGAAATGAACAGCAAGATAACGCGTTTCTTTCCAGGAAATGTATTACCTCTTGATCAGTGAACCTTATAATACCGTATACCTTCCACTGCTGGGTACGGGTGCTTTCTAACAAGAAATAAAAGGCGTAGCTCGCCTCGAACTTGACGTATTTCAAGATTATTGCTTTCAAAGCGAATAATATATTTTTTTCATTTATTTTCCAAAACAAAATAATTTACAGAGGTTCTTAAATCTAACCTCCTACCTGCCGCTAAATGGATGTAATTCCACAAGCTTTATAAGTCGGTTTTTTTATAAAAAAAAGTTATTTGAAGTCGATTAAAAATAAGGTTATTCTTACCAATAAATTATGAGTCTTCAGCCAATGGTTAACGAAAATGGAATTCGCGTCAGTTAACAGCAGGACATCCCATCCTTCAGCTGCAAGACCTGCGATGAGCTGCTCTACACCTGGAGTCGGTCGCATGGATGCTATAGCCGAAAGGATGTCGTCCGGGCTGAGACCTGCGGAGTACGCGTGCTCGAACACCTGCAGGCAAGAAGGTTTACTTACATTTGTATTGAATTGGAATTCAATTATTTTTTTCGTTCCGTGGCTTAGAGTTTGGCACGGTTTGCTAGAAGACGTCGGTTCGAATCTGGCCGGATCGAAGGAAGACTTTTTTCTGAGTGTTCGATCTTTGTATTAATAATTATAACAAACTAGCGGAGTAATTTCACAAAAAATAATTGAATATCAATTCAATACAAATTTAAATATAGTTAATAGCGACATCTCTAGCCAGGGCTGGTAGCTGTAAAGTTACCTAACTGTTCTTTA